CTGTCAGGCATCTTCATTCACATGGACCCAGGGAATTCTAAGATGCTCCCTCTATGGGCATTGTAGTGTACTTATTCTTCAGGACTAGACTATGGAGCTGGTTTTTAGATACTAATATTTCTCTAGTAATATCTAAAATGCATGTCTTAAATTTAAAAGGATCGGCTCTTTGTGATGCTCAGGAGAACATTTAGTGTACATAGATCTGTTGATGGGAATTTCTTTTTTTCGCATACAGAGCAGATATTCTACAGTAAGTATACCACACGGGAAGGAAAACAAACAGTTATATGGAAATGCAGCAATGATCATTGGTTATTGCTTCTCTCCGTTGCGTAGTTAGAATGCTTAGTTTGCTGTTAATACAGAACTCTGTGATACAGTAAAACTTGCGATGATTGGTCTATGTGCCAACTATCTAAATGAATTAGTTTATGATATAAAATCACAATTCAAAGGATTTAATGGCAAGATTCAGAAAGGGCTATGACAGTCACATTTAAAAGGACATACTGTCTCTGGAGAGGCTTTGAATTTCATCTGCAGAATAATTTCCACACTATTTAGCTGCCCCCTCCACAGGAATAAAGAGCTATAGTCACGTTCATCAAAGATCAAAACTACAATGCAGAAGTAGAAATAGAGGACAATTTTGGAACTGAAAGACATTTCCGTAGGATATTCTTTGTCAACAGTAATGTTATGCTAACAAATTATAAAAATGAGTGTATGTTAATATATCTAAGAAATCAGTAAACCAAAGGCACATGTTCTTGAAATGTATGTGATGTATAAAGAGCAGCTAAGTGCTTCTGCCTAAATTTAATAGTTTTATCATAAATTATACATCTAATCTCATTAAAGCATATTTGGAAATGACTAAATAGTAGAATAAATATCTTTTTCTACATATGCGTTTTGGAAAGTTATTGTCATTCTTAATCTATATATTTTCATATAGTAAAGAAATGTATAAGTGATCTTCTTTAGACTTTAAGCATAATTAAATGCTTTGATCATGATGACCATGACTAGAATGATGAATAAGGGGAACTAAATTACAAAGCTGAAAATTAAGAGCTGCAGTTGCTTGAATCTTTGTATAAGGTCGCTTTTCCATTAGTAGATAAAGTAGGCAGAGTTGAGTACCCCTCATTGTGGGTTGCATCATGTCCAAATAGAGGAAATTTTTAAAATTAGTTTTATTTATAAATTGCTTCATGAGTTGTCAAGGCCCAGGCTTTAATAAAAACATTTCTCAGAAACCAAAGGTTTTAGCTCAACTGCCATAAGAAAATACTATTGACTGAAAATACTATTTCACTGATCGATTAATTTCATACTAGTATTAACTTGAATCCATAAGAAAAGAAATTTTAAGTAAGTATTTGAACCCAAATAATACATTGAAAAAACAACAACTACTAAATTATGTCATGAACATTTGCAGTGTTGTCTTTAGTGGGTTTAACATACAAATCTACTTGAATCTAACCAATAAAAACCATACTATAATCAGGATGTAGCACAGACTGACATTTTAAAAGTTATGAAAATAAGATTTTAAAACATATTCTAGGGCTGGGGATTTAGCTCTGCGGCACAGCTCCTGCCTGGCAAGCGCAGGTCATGAGTTGGATTCCCGGTACCAGAAAACAAAACAAAACAAAACAAAAGCATAAAACACATTCAAATATTACTACACCCAACTTTCCGTACTAGGGATGCCTGTTTGCATACCTTGGACATTCGTATGCTGAAGCCCTTGCCCCCAAGTAATGGGTTTGAGAGGGGAGGTTTAGGCCAGCAATTAGATTTAGATGAGATACAAGCATCGCCCAGAGAGTGGCGTCCCCTACAGGAAGAGGAAGGGACTGCAGCGCTTCCTGCCCCCCAGCCACTGCCTAGGAAGACACTGAAAACCACCTCGGCTGGCAACCTCTTCTGCGACTGCAGCCTCCAGACCCAGGTGACCCAACTGTTCAAGACACTCAGGCGATGGTATCTCCTCATAGGAGCTGAGCGAAAACCTTCGTTTTCTAGATGTTTTTATTAAGGCCGGGCTTGGACAACTCATGAAGCAATTCATAAACAAAGTACAAAAACAACTCCTCAACCTGGACTTTTTCCAGAGTTTTAGATTGTTTAATTAGGATTTCCGCCCAGAGAGACAATTAATACTTTGTTGTTGTTGTTTTCTCTAAACACGAGTGCACGAGAGCTCGTTGAGCGTTCTCACTGAGCTTCGGTGAAAGCTCTCAGGGGAAGCTGCTCAATGACATTCCCCGGCTCTTGTGGGCAGCTGGGCGCGAAGTCCCAGAGAACAAACCTCTTTGCCTCCAAAGGGAGAGCAACAAAGCTGTGCGCTCGCAGGGCCGGCCTGCGCTTCTCCTTAATGTGTCCCCTGCAATCGGGGATGACAGGCAAGTAGTCTGATTGCTGGCAAAGATTTTGCTACATTTAAAATCACCTTTGATGAAGACAGAGTACAACTCACTCGTTTGCAATGTGAAAAAGGTGACACTAACATTCCCTAGCAAGTTTTTATTTTCTACAGTGCACCATAAAATTCTTGATATATATGTATATGTGTGTGTGTGTGTGTGTGTGTGTGTGTGTATATATATATATATATATATATATTCCACCCAAAAGTATACATCACAAAAAACCATATAAATATTTTAATACTAAATTTATTGCGGTATCATGAGATTAATACAAGTTACCCTTGGCTTTTGCAATTGTAAGAGGTACTCAAAGTGGTGGCCATTAGTTTCCAGACATTTATTCGTTTGGAAAACTGTAAACTTTTTTTGGCAGACTCTCTTTCTCTCTCTGTCTCTCTCACTCTCTCTCTCTCTCTATGTATGTATAGATATATATAATTTAAATGAATACATGTATGAATAAATAGTATCTAAATCTAAACCATTATTTTTACAGTTTATGTAAATTCTGTAACATGTAAATATATACAAATATTTGTATGCTACATAAAATTGTACTTTATATAATGTATAAGATATAAATGTTTACACAGATTGAATATTATATCAAGTTAGTCACTTGATTTAGTAAAATTATATTTTGAAACAAATAAAATCTTTTAGAGAGCTAAGCAGGCAAGTCAACAAAAAAGTGTGGTTTATTTGAACCATTTCTTAATCCCTAAATAACATTAGCTTATTCTTATAAAACAACAGTTTTAAAGTGAAATATGATAAGAAAGAACAGGTTTTCTGTATAACTAGCTTTGAAAATGGATGAAGTTGTAACTTCTGGATGGATTCAAAAGAGGGTGAAAATTTTGTCAAAGATACAGAAAAATGTGGGGGATGATTATTAAGAATAAATTTCCCATTCTTCCAGAACTTCCTTCGATATTGATATCAATTAATACCACCATGCCTCTGGATAGTATATTTCACTTTCAGCATTTTTTTTACTGATTTATTGGATATCTATTTTTATATTGTATGTTTTCTGTATCATGCTTGTCACAAAGTTGACATTTCTTAATAACTGACAAATGAATGACTCAGAGATTGTCATTAGTGTTTATGGTCTTGACATACGTTGGTAACTTGCTGGGCAGGAAGATACAGTGAGAAAGAAAAGCACTGAAATTGAGTCTATAAAGTACTGTAACAGCCAAGATACTTGGCTGTCTCTGTAGAAGAAATCAAGAAAATCCAAGTTTGTAGTTTTTATACATGAATAAGTAAGTGTGCATCACTAAATTGTATTTCTTACATTATATTGGATAGCTTTTTAAAATATAGCTAAGCAAGTCCATAGCATCTTCACAGTTACTTTTATGCCTGTTGGCTGCTCTGGGCAATTGGTGATTTAATTGTACATCTACCTGTACATAGAACAATAAAGAATGATATTAACAGTGAAATCCCAAACACCAAATAATTATTTAATGTTAAATGTAAGTTACCTAATTATAACATCAATAAATTAAATCATGTGTCCCTAATGACCGCTGGCAAATGATTTACTTGTTTCTGTCCTGATACTATTAAAGCGAATTGAGAGCTCTGAAATATGTGTTGGAAAGTATATTTGGAAAGGAAAAAGCTTGCTAAATTCCTGAGTACCAGAAGAAATAAAATGAAGAGCATTTTAGATATGCTACATTTTTAGGCAGAGAATGAAGAAAGTATCAAAACTTTAAAAATGTTTTGGAAAGCAACGCATTTACACCTAACAGGGCAGAAGATGACTCACCCAACTTCCAGTTTTCAGCTCCTAGGTTCACACTGTTCTTTGGAAGACTGACTCTTTCACTCCTGAATGCGGTAGGGGTGTGAAAACCCAGCTACTTTATCTCAATGTGGGGCACCCTCACAGACAGCATTCACTCGCAGCCTTGGTCAAGGGTTTGTGAGCTGCAGTTTGAATTTCTTGTGCCTTGTATTATGAAATTCATAAGGGGTGTAGTGTGTTTATTCCCATAATTTGGTGGCATTCTATTATATGGCTATACAAAAATTTGCTTACCTACTTGTCTGACTGATAATTGAACACCTGGGTAATTCAGTTTGGGGCTACCATAAGCATTCATAGATAAGTCTTTAAACACATACATTCAAGATTTAGGACTTTTCAAATTCCTGTAACATGGAGATGATTGCAAGTTCCAGTTTAGGCTTAGTGACTTCATGAGATCCTGTTTCAACAAAATACTGGAAATATTTCAAAATGTGCATTCTGATGAGTATGTATGGAACATAAAGAGCACTGTTTTACATATTGCTGGAACTACAGATTGGCGGGAATATTCGTAATGACAATTTGATAGTACTTATCAAAAGAGAAAATGTTCATTCTTTGTTCTAGAAATTCTCCTTCTTTGCAATAATATTGGAAAAACTACTTAACTTGTATATAGCTTCTATATTTTTCATAAGCAGGAAAAGGCCAATAATATATAATAATATGTAACTCACATGTTAATACATAATTCATAGGGTTGACTTACCATACCAAAATTTTTCATTATTATTTTTATTATAATTATGCAATTTTATTATCCACAAATGCTTTGTCAAATATGAAAGGATTGTACAGTATTTTTAAAGATGCTCATTACAATATTTTCAAAATAAAAATTGGATATGAAGTAAGTGCTCATTAATAAGGGTTTATGGAGTAAATTTTTGTCCATCTGTCAGAGGAAACAGGAAAGGCTGGAGGTGTTCTTTTGCAGAAATGGTCTGATTTCAAATGCTGCCTCTGTCCTTATGAGCTGGGGGCTTTATGCATTTGTTACTCTTTGTGTCTTACTTTCCAACTGTAAAAATAATGATAATACCCACGTGACATGAGTTATGTGTGAGGAATTGATAAGACATTACATGTAAATTGTTTAGGAGAAAAACAGGATGTAGTAAGCATCCCATATTTCATAGTGTCCTGTAGATTATTACTCACCCTTGGTAAGAATAGGGGCAAATCTTCATGTGGTGGCATTCAAGGGTACTATAAAAAGATTTTATGTTTTCCTTCCTGTAGATATAATGGAGGTAAACCAAGCATAATCTACTTATGAAATAGATGTAAATATTCAAATATGTACCAATGATTATTTTATAATTACAGGAAGAGAACAATAGCTAAGCATATTTCACATTCCCAGCTCACTGTTCTTAATTTTTATTACAAGTGAAAATTTTAATATACGAAATTGATAGACTCAATAGCATAAAATAGTTTTAAAAAGAATTTAATGGTCTTTGAGTAATTTATTTGAGTTTATTAATCTAGCTATTTATTAATCTGTTATTGAAATAGTTGTTATGTATTTATATATATGAAATACAACAAAAATTGAGTGCTTTACTGGAAAGGCCACGGTGACTAACAATATTGTATGATTGACATTTTATAATAGAACTTCACATTGAAACGACTAAAAATAAAGGAACAAAAGTAAAAATACTTAACCTAACCAAAGCACTTTGTTTCCTGTGCCTCTAAATTTCTTTAGGAGCAAGAACTCCATCATATATGGACTTTCTAAAGGATGTACAAACAATTTTATGACATAAACATACATATGACATAAACATCAAATTAGAAAAATGTTAGTTTTCACTTAATGTAGCAGCTGTATTGCAAAGATAAATAAAAACACTAGCTGTTTGCAGTAAAGGTGATGTTCATAGTAACTTATGTGCGATATAACAAGTAACCACTAAATGTTGTAACAGGGGGAAACCTGGCTGGAATTGTTCCTTTCACAAGTCGCAACCACACCTCCTGCCCATAATTTAATTCTAATAGGGCATCCCCAGTCAAAACTCTGTCACAGTGTACATCACTGTTAATATTTTCAGACTCAAATGCAAGCTTGTCTCTTCCGTCCACCACTAAAAACCCCTGGATATGAGTACTAAAGGACTCAATGGTGTATTTGAAAACATATACTCCCAGATAAGGAATTTGAAATTTTCCAGTCTTAGGGTTATATGATGCTCCATAATTAACCTCCAGATTAGTAAAAAGGATAGGGCCAGGTGTAGTCATTCCATATCTATTAGATGCAAAAAATGCCACCATGGGTGCATATCTGTAAGATCCCTTGGAAAAATCTGTCAATAGAAAAGAACAATGTCAAGAGTTAGTTTTCATGATTTTACTTTGCTTTTTTTTTTTTTTTACTGTCCTCCATTGAATTTATCAACAGCATGTGTGTGTGGATGTCTGCCTCTTATCCCAGCGAAATCATTCTACAGCAGTTCTCAGAGCTCAGTTTCTCCATTTAGATCAGGATAGAATGAAAATAACATTTGATATTTCTCTCATAGAAATATTACAAAGATTAATTTGCATGTGGCTTTGATCTGCCCAGAGACAAAGGAATCCAAAGCACTCTGTGAGTACTATGAAGTCATATCCACTGTAGAAAAGTATGAAAAAGCACTATTTTGTGTAATTGATGCCAAATTGATGCCTCTTTACAAAGGCTAAAAATTGAAAATAGACCAAAAACTTACTCATCAGCATGCAGCATATTCAAGGAAAGCCCTATTTGAAATATGCTTTTGCAGCCACTAAAGATACTAGATACTAAATGCTACGTTTCCTTGTATAAAAACCAGAGGTGCTGTATCCTTAAAGTAAATGTGAAGCAACCAGCATTTATGATACTAAATGAACAAAACAAAAGCATCTTTGTTTGATACTTCTGATCATGCCCTAGTAATCCTCATGCCGTCAAAAAGGCACTATCAGGTTAACCTCCCTGGAAATACGCCACTAAACCCACACTCATGCTTCATTTAAATGAATATATCTGACACGAATTAAAGGTGCATTTCTCAAACAAATGGTTTGAAGAGAAAGTTTATACAAGTCAGACATATACATCTGAATTTTTAAATATGCACAAGAAAAAAAATGAGAAAGGTAGGGTTTTCAATAAATGGCCTGCAGAATACCAATATTTAAAAGGTCAACCGGTACTTGCATACATAAATTTTCCATACAAAAGGTATTTCCACTTGTAAATTTGGTATATTACTCAATAAGTTTAAGAAGTGAAGGACCAGGGATATAGCTCATGGGCACAAGTGCTTGCCTGGCAAGCACAAAGTTCTGAGTTCAGTTCCAAGTACCAAAAAAGAAAAAAGTAAAACAAGTTAGTCTTCATGTGGATCCAATTTAAAACAGCTTAAATAGTAATGCTTGATATTTTCTAAACGTGTTTCTGTATATGACATTGAGCAAACCCAGAGAGCAGACTTTTACCTGGAGCCAAAGCAGTTTCCTCCACCAGCTTGATGGTGCAGTTTTTGCCTGAGAAGGGATGCCGGCAAGCACAGGTAAAGCTGGTTCTCCCATTTATACATGTACCTCCATTCTGGCACGGGAAGCTGCTGCAGCCTGACTCCTCCTCTGTTACTGAAAAGCACCATGATAAAGGAGGATAAGGTGACATATTTTTCTATTCACCTCAAATCATACTTTGCGGCAGATTAGGTGAAATACTGAATCTGAAATACCAAAAAGGGGTCAAAGGCTGAGGTTGCCTATCCGGGTAGCTGTAGGAATTCATGCAAATGCTTTAATTCTAATCTCCCTTCCCCTTCTGTGAACTAAGGCTAATTCTGTGATTTACTGCATTTATTTTCATGAAAATGTCAAGATTTTGGTCAACAGTAGAACAGAATATAATTATCCACACACAGAACCATGTGTATTTGGAACTAGTACATGACAAAAGTAATATTTCAAATCATTGGAGAGGACAAATGTCCTTGCAATGCATAATGGATATTTATAAAATATATCTATGTGTACAAAAATACTTTTAAAAATCCATGCAATTGCTTTACAGTGAAATAATGGAGAATATTTTTGTATAACCTTAAAACTTTAGAAAATTCGTTCAAAGCAAACACAAGAAAACGCAGACATCATAAGAGAAAAAAACTTCCATTTTTGATCAGCTAAGAATTGAAACACACGTTCATTGAAATCTGCTAAATCTGCTAAATTGAGCTCTTGTTCAATGATAAGCAACAAATGAAGAGAAAGTTATTTTTATCAAACATAATCTAATGACTAATATCTATACCCTATGAAAAGCTCTGATGAATCTAAATGAAAAAGAACATTATTTCCTGAAAAGAAAAATGAAGGAAAAGAAAAATGGTCAAATGGCATAAGGCAAATCACTGAACATAAGTAAGAAAGCTCACCAACAGTTTTAAAATGTACTCCACCATGTCCCTAAATAAATAATTGTAAACTCAACCTCAGTTAACATTTTTATGTCAGATACCAACATTTAAAAAGAAAATATTTACGGATGATAATCTGAGGAGAGATGTTACTTGTACAGTTTGATAATATTTTTTAGCACTAAAAAATTTATTTACATTGAGCCAGAAATTTCTACTGACAAAATATGTGTACTCCACACTTGGGGAGCCCAAAAGATTATTGGTTATGTGTTCAAGTACCTAAAGATTATTCTCCAAAACTGCTGTTTGTGGAATCATTTGCATTAAGTGAAAGTTTAAAGACCCCTAAATGTTCAGAGATTCAGGAAGAAATATTAGATATCAGTTAAAGAATGAGGTGGATCCCCAACACATTTGCATTACAGTGTCAGCAGATTACAATTTACACATCACATATAGAAGAAATTCATTTATTTATAAAGCTTCAAATTATAAATATGATTATAAACCTAAGAGATAATTATGTAAAAGTTGGGAAGATACTGGAAGAGTCCAGTCTCCTTGCCAGGAAACCATTATGGTATGAGAATAACCACTATGACCTTACCTTGTGGTAATAATGTATTAAATTTATAATTCATTTATTTCAGGTTCTACGGTTGTTGATGAGTTTTAAATTTGAGGTTATTTGATTTATTTGGTTTTTTTTTCAAAATGAGATCCATAAATATTTTGACTATATTCTGTTTCATAACTGTATCAGGTATGAAATTCAGGTAAAATATGATCAAAAGTGTATTATTGAATTTTTTTGCAAAAATACATTAATATATAATTTATGTAATTAGAAAATAATATAATGCATTCTATATAATATTCTACAAATTCCTTCATCAAAAAAGTATAAAAACATTACAGGTAGTATATTTTTGTGTGTGTATGAATATATTATATGTAATATAATTTAACAAATGTTTCAAACTTGCCCACATCTCTTGAACTTCATTTCCTTACCACGAGTATGTTATCAAACCCTTTCATTTACTGTTAGTTATCACTGTAGATTTTGGCTCATTATTTGTTAATTCTAAAAACATCAATGAGTCACCATGAGGAATGGTTTTCACATTCTCTGAATCTAGCACCATGACTGAGCCCCAGGAGGGTGCATGGTTAATATGCTTCACTAGTAATGAATCAGTTGTGCAGTGGAGTGGGGGAAACACCGACTCAGTTATGTAGCTGGTCAGTGCTGTAATTCTAAATTTTCCAGATGAGGAAGAGCCACTCTCACCTGCAGACTGAGCTTATCTATGAAATTAGGACTCAAGTCTGTTCTAGGGAGAATTGAAGAAACTGTAGAAACAGCAGACTACTTGACATTGCCAATGGTCCCGTTCTAATTCTTCAAGATGAAGACTTTTACCTTTATTTAATGTTCAGAAGGAGCACTCTTTTTTTTCCCTCATGTCCTGTTTCCTTCTGGAATGGGGTCTTGCTTTGCTTTCGTCCTTTAACATTGCAAAGATTGTTCTTTGGCTCTTATTCCAATCTTTGCATAGGGTCATTCATCTGAAGAGGAGACCACTTGAGTCTAATGAGGGGCCTGAACTGTCCCCTGCTGCCAGACTGGCCCACACTTCTGAGACAGTGCAGTTTGCCCTCTCAGACATCTTCCATGGTGCCCACTGATCAATCTGTCCTGGATACTCATCCACTTATCTCCACCTGCTTTGATGCAAGCTGTAAACTGTGAGCCTGGTTGGCCCTGATTTGCCAACTACAGTTATGTGGAATTTGTAATACAATCAGTTACAAGTATCTTGTTCTACATCTTCTGACTCATATTTTCCTACTTTATCGTTAAAGTACTTAAAAAATGGTTGGATACCTTTATCAATATCTGCTCTTATTACAGCTCAATAAGATGTTTGGTCTTGAATTAACAACAGTCAAATAATAAATCAAACAAAAAGTGTCATTTTTTACAGCTTCCTTCATGCTTTCTGCCAGAGTTAATTACTTTAATTCACTCATTAATGCCTGATGCTTTGAATTTGTTATCATTCAAGTGACTTTTCTTTCAACTGCACTGTGAGCCTTGTGAGGTCCAGGTCCACGATCTTCTAGTTTTTAAACTTTGTGTTACCACAGATTAGCTCAGGATGTGACACACACAAGGGGCTAAAGTTTTTAAGGGCAGGAAGAGAAGAGAGGTGACAAGAATGGCCTACCACATAGGAAAAGAAAGCTAAGCACAAGTGCTATCAGAGTAAGTGAGACGTGTGCCTGGAATATGTACTTGTCATGTGTGAAGACTGTCTTTAGTGTGACAGTTGAAGCAAAGATTATTGATGTGGTAGACTTTTGTTTGTGTTTACATTGTAGCTCACATAGGTTTCTATTTCTGATGTTATCTTTTAGGTTTGGAAGCAAGTACATTGCTGATGTGAAAATGTTGATGTGAATACATATTTAAAGTTTAATGCTTTATTTTATTGATATTTGATGTTCCTGTTAACTGCACATTACACAATATAATAAGAACCTCTGGACAAAACAGTAAGACTATCAAGATGTCAAGTATGTCCTACAAAAAAGCCAGGAAAGCAGAAGGTACGTGTGCTGTCAGTGTAAGCGATATGTGTGTATTTGTAGTTGTGTGAGGACTTTCTTAGGGGTGACAACTGCAGAGTGGTTTTGCTAATTTCATTGTAGTTCAGATAGCAATTTATCTCTGTTGTTCTCTTTTAGACTTTGTACACCAAAAACCAGTTGACATTGAAAATTTTGATGCTTTTTTATAAACAGTAAATATTGAAAATGCAATATGTTATTAATATATACTAAACCTCATAAAGTTAAAATTAATAATTCATCAATAGAAACATTCTAAAGATATTTGTGGGTTTCACAGGCCCATGTTTATGAGACTTTATGACAAAAATGTGCTATGCTCCTTAATGGAAGACTGACATGGCTATACATACATCCAACTTTATCCCTTTTTCTTAGTGCCTCAAAGATCACATTAATTTTGGTGCTATGACATCATCAGCATGTTTTGCTAAAGATAACATACCATTTCAAGCAAACTTCCTACAACTTCCCTCTTACATCAGGTTTCAGTAATATCTTAAACCCTTTCCAGTCCATTTGTTCTCTTTGATGGAGAGCAGTGCAATTAGCTGAACCATTCCACCAACCCAATGCTCTAATATTTTGTGTAAGTAGCATAACTAATCTTTCAAGATTAACTTCCCTGCTCTGAATATGGCAAAATTCCCTTTCCACTATCTTGGAATAGTTCATAAATCTCAATTTGTTCTGGTTTTCCCTTTCTGGATTCCAATATGTGCTCTGGTTGTACTTTTCTTTAATCCTACATTCAAATCTCATAAACGTTCGTGTTAAATTTGAACTGATTGGGGAGCTCCTTACATTTTCAAAGCACTTTGCTTTTGCTAGCATTTGTCATTCTCTATTATAATTATTTGCCTAATATATGAGCTCCATGAGAAAAGCGACTGTGTTGATTTACATACTATCCACTCAACCTGTCTCAGTGCTGTTTCCAAACTTAAATTTCATGAAAAAAATGGAAGAACAATTGCATTGGCCTCCTACTTCAACCTTAATTTTATTTACTTCACATATAATATGTATAACTTATGTAATAATTATAAATACACTATTAAATTATATAGTATTTTGCTTCACATACTTTTTTGTTTATTACTTATTTGTATTTTAGTATCAAGTTATTTTTTATTTCTTCATTTAAAGAATAACATGGCAAAGGACAGACACCCCTGATCCTTGCTTAGGGCACAGTAGATTTTGACAGCTTAGTGATGGGACCTGTCATGTTGCCTCTGGGTCAGTTTTGTAGGACACAAGAAAAGCACTATACATCCCACTGCCTAACTTTGCTCTTGGATAAAATATCCTCACAACACTGGTGCTTTTCTTTGTGGTTCTTCTTGATTCCAATGCACTCTAAAATATTTTCATTCTTATATTTGTGGATACATTCTTATCTTTCAGTGCTACTCTGCTATCTCACTGTTTCTGTCAAATAAGATTTACCCCTCCATTTCTCAAAAAATATTTCATATGTCTCTTCCTAAGGACTGGAAATGTCAGTGTTTATATTTGTGTTCAAAATATTCAAATTTATGTTATAATTACTCATACTTTGTCCAGTGATGGACA